GTCACCTAAAACTAACATTTTTAAAATTTTACAGGAGAAGCAAAAAACTATTTAAATTGAAAAGTTTGTTTCTACCAACGCGATTTATTTGCAGTAAATAAACAAATTGTTTAACTGTGAAACCTATCATTTGTTATGATAGTTGACAATGGCGTACATATATAAAAATGGATAAATTGGACTTTTTACCTTTAATATTTAAATGTTTTTGTAGATAGGGCCTTTTGTTTTCTGTCAATAAAATCGATAATTATGGTCGGAGGTGTCCAATTTTTGGTGTGGACATTTGTTTTGATGCAATACATTAGAATCACCAATAAAATCGATTTTGAATTTTTGGTTAGTTAGGGCCGTTTGCGTTTCAGGCGACGATATATAAATATAAAATTTATTGTAAAAATATGTAATACAAAGATAACAAAACACAATTTGTGTTAGACAAATTACAAATTATGCTACAAAAATGTTAGAAATATGCAAAATACATACATATATGTATGTAATTTAAATCAAGATATGCTATTTATAACAAAATATGCAACAACAAATCGATGCCATTTTGTAGCAAATTCTTTGATTCAAATTGAAAACTAGTTAAAAGTTATTTTGAGTTACTGACAAAAAATCCTTGCCCTGGTGATCACTGGTCAGTCTTAAATTGACCCCAGCTCGTTCTTTCAGAAATGTCGATATAAAATACAAACCATCATCAAAAATAAGAGAATTTTAACGATAATTACTCAAATTATAATAAATTTAGTAATTTTATCGTAATTTTCATAACATTTGATAGAAATAAATAAATAATTTAACGATTTCAGTTACAAAAATTCTGTGAGGAAATTCTGTAAAACATAGTCCTCATATTAGGCACTCGGGAAAACACTTCGTATATATGACAATATTAATTTAATAATTTAAATGACAAAATATATACAGATTTGTTATAAATATTTATTTTTTAAATAAAGCAGCACTAAATTTAAAAAAGCTTATGATTAATATTCAAGATTCTTATAAAAATAAAAATACTTACTTACAAATCATTAGCAAATACTAACCACATACATATTTACAAGAATTAAATACATTTAATTTAAATTGAAGTTAAAACCGTATAGTAGTGTTCGATAAAGTTCCAAGTAGAACAGATTATTTTTTATAAAACGGATAAAATACCCTATTATAAAAAATGGCTAATAATACAAATTCCCGGCCCACAGAATTGGAAGAATTAGAAATTCAGGCTATTAAAGTAGCCGATGAATCATTGGAAAGTACTCGGCGCATGTTAAATATGATGGAAGAAAGTGAGCAAGCTGGTCAAAAAACCATGGAAGCACTGGATGAACAAGGTGAAAAATTAAATAACATAGAGCGAGGCATGGATAACATTAATGCAGATATGACTAAGGCCGAAAAAACTTTAAAACGATTAAAAAGGTGTTGTTTTATTTGTCCAACACCATGGAGAAAAGTTCCAACTCAAGTTGAACCAGATGGGGAACTTAGAAAGGAAACAGAAGGAAATGCAAAAGTTGTTGTGGATCAACCACGACGTGTTTACGACGAAAGAACAGTGAATTCATCTGCGAACCCCTCATCTGGTTACATTACACGTATAACAAACGATGCCCGCGAAGATGAAATGGATTCAAATCTGTGTCAAGTTAATAATATCTTAGGTACTCTTAGGAATATGGCCGTAGATATGAACTCTGATTTAACAAAACAAAATACTCAAATTGAGAGAATTACTGCAAAGGGTGATGCTAATAGTGTACGATTGGATCAGGTCAATATATCGGCAAATAAAATGATTAATAGTTGATGTAAACTCAACAAATTCTAAATGAATTCACTTTAGGAATAAAAGTTTAAGGTAAGCTTTATGGTTTTTCCATTAAGTAATTCAATGATTTATATGTATATGTATATCCTTTACCAAAAAATATTTACATATTTTCGAGAAAAACGGTTTTTAATGTTTTATGACATTTTAAAATTTCTGAAATTACTTTTGAACAAAATATCAAATATAAAAGTAGATATATGTATAGTATATACATACATAGATTAATATGTTTCTAATCTGAATTTAAATAACATTTTTACTCTTCAAATACATATTAGAATAAACGTGAATTTTAGTTTTCACTTTTGCGGCCAAAAATCGTCCTAATCGTCCGTTCAAAAGACGATTATGAAAATTCTTTTGACCCGACCAGAAGCACAAAGTTTGCCGGACTTATTGATGCTTCCGATTTTTATTGTATTAATGCCGGTTATCAACATTCAAACGTGATTTCAATTTCAGTGGCACAGTACTTTATTTGTATTTTTCTTATAGTATTACGCAGCCGCTCACTTACAATGTAAATAAGTTCACAATTTTGTTTACATTCAAATTAATTTTTTCCGAAAAATAATGGATTCATTAGTTATATTAAAATTTTAAATGGTAATATGATCACAGAAAAACTGAAAAACGATTTCAAATACCAAAACCTCGTTTTCAATTATTTTATTTATTGAAGTTCAACCTATAACAAAAATTCTATATTCAATTACTACTTATAATTGATTTCGTATACAACATTTTTATTTTTTTATATTTTTGTTGTATTTGATTATACATTTTTATGATTCAAATACAAAATGAATTGAACCCTTTTAAAATTTTTGATTAATCGTTTAATTGAAAATTTTTTAAAATTAATTTTTTCTGTGATGTCTTACATATACATATATCATTAGAGAGACAAAAATAATTGATTTTTAATAATTTTTTCTAAAACACTACACAGAAAAAACTGAAAAACGATTTCAATTACCAAAACCTCGTTTTCAATTATTTTATTTATTGAAGTTTAACCTATAACAAAAATTGTATATTCGATTACTACTTATAATTGATTTCGTATAAAAATTTTTTTTAAGAATATTTTTTTTTTTTTGCTCATTTGAATAGATTTATCATTAATTGACAAAAACAAATTGCAATTTTCATAATTTTTTTTATTTTTATAAAGATTTTTACAATGATTCAGAAATTATTTAGTAATAAGTAAATCCACTGTTATTTGATAATTAGAGGTGATAAAGAGTTATAAAGATTCTTAACTAACGGCAAGAAAATTTCGGCCCAAGCCCTTTTAATTCCTTCATTTGTAAACTTTACGAGAAAGAATATCCGAAACGTTTTCAATAATAAATAAGTGAGGAGAGTATGGACAAAAAGTATACAGAGGTGTCACTTTTGACATTTAAAAAAGTCTAAAATCAGCTTTTGTTTGATTTTGAAATTGTTTGGTGAGAAGAGGTACATATATAAAATACAGCTAAAAAATCATTGAAATCGTTTTGTGCGAAAGAGAGGGAAATAGTTTTTTGCTCGTGACGCCTCTGTATTTTTACATCCTGGTTTCGAATCAGCCAAAAAATATTGTTGAAAAACGAACAAATAAGAATGATCATTATAAAAGAAGAAATCTAAAAAAACTTCGTTTTTTAACAATGTGAAAAACAAGAAAAGTTATGAAGTTTGCTTCTCCTGTAAAATTTAAAAAACACATACAATGGTGAATTTCGTGTCAAGTGACCCAACTTTTAAAATCGATGTCTTCCGATTCGAGAATAAGATTTTTTCATTTACTTTAAGAGCTTTGTGGTCAAGTAGTGGGATGCAAGTGGGATATGTAAAAAAAGAATAATATAAAATATTTTTTATATATATCCCACTCGCATCCCACTAAGTAACCACAAAGCTTTTAAAGGAAGTGGTCCAAGCTTTCTTTTGAGCAAATAAATACTACAAAAACGTCCATTTTGAAAAAATAGGGTAAAATTAAGTGCCAAATATTAAAAAAAACTTATTCTTAAGTTAAACAAAATTTTTGTTGGTAGATATCCCACTCGCATCCATTATGGGACTATAAAGCCATTAAAGGAAATTGTACAAGCTTTCTCCTGACCAAAAAAAAAAATAAAAAGGGCCCATTTTGAAAAAAAAAAATTTTTTTTGGAAACAATGAAAACAAAGAATTAGCTATCTGAACTCCTTTGGGCAATTTTTGCTAGGACCAATAGGAGAAAAGTTACACTCATTTGAATAAAACCCTGTATGACCAAAATGTCCAACTTTGACCCCCTCTAAGTACGGCAGTTCTAAGCTAAATTTGTGTCTGGTATCCGATAGTACTAACCTTGATGCAAACTTCAGCAAAATCGATTTTTTGAGTTGGGTCACTTGACATGAATTTCCCTATATGTATATAGTACATAGAAAAATTTGAAAAATAATTGTCTCAAGATATCAAATTTGGTAAAAATGTATTATAAATAGCTAAATTTAAGCACACTAGATTCAATAGTAATGACCACTAGGTATATGAAATATCAATATTTGAATAATTGTTTGCTTTATTAAAATGTATATATAAAATTTTGTACAAAAAGCACAAGCGACAATTACAACGGCTTATTAATGACTTATTCAAATCGGAAAAGGGCCATAATGAGATTTATATGAACCCTTATACTGTCTAAATTAATTAAAATTACGATTATTTGTTAGAATTGCATTTAAAGATTAAGATAATTTTTAGAAAATGGTCACAGGTTTGAATCGATGTTTATTGGGATTATTTTGGCTGTCTGGCAACATTTTTTTTAATATAATAAAACAGAAACCTGTGTCTGAAAAATAAAATACGACTGAGCTTAGCCGCCACTGAAAAACAATAATTGCCTGCATAAGTTGTATTGAAATCTATATACTGAAATTTTTTGCAGTTTCATTAAAATATTGACATTTGACAATATAAATACATACTAATTTTATTATGTAAATTTTAGCAATTTTTCGTTACCAATTAATTTTTTAATTTAAGTTGGCGCTGTTATTCAAAAAGACAGTTGGCGGCGTCAACTTGAAATTTATCCGGCGCTGATCTCAATTGTGTATAGTATGATAATGAAAAAGAAAATAAGAAAATTATAGAGAAAGACGAAAAAATATTTTAGTGTATCTTGAGAAAAACGGTGGGTGTGTGTGTAGAATTTGTATTTGCTTAATTTGCTTGACTTTTTTTCCTGGCGAATTAAAATTTTAATAATTTATAATTTCGTTGTAAAACAAGTTGATTTTACTAAGTAGAGAAAAATACAGAGTAGATAAATATAAAAAAGTGAAAATTAAAAACTCTGTGAATCGAGAAAGGTGACTAACTCTGAAAAACGACACGAGGCATTAAAAATCACCAAAAATATTTTGCAAATAGTAAAAAAACTAAAATATTCATGAGTACAAGTTTGTGTGTATTTGATAAATTTATTAAATCAATTGTTAAACGTTGTTAGATTAACAACCACTTGCGAAAAAAGGGAACAAACAGCGAGTTAATAAAATAAACATACCGTCATCATAATCATCCACTTTTTGTAACCAAATTTCTAGAAGATAATTTAAATTAAGAAAAGTATCTAATTTAAAAAGCAATAAAATGGCAGCTGAAGGTGTTCCACGTACTGAATTGGAGGATTTGCAAATGAAATCTGCCCAGGTGGCGGATGAGTCCTTGGAAAGTACCCGCCGTATGTTAAATCTTATGGAAGAAAGTAAAGAGGCGGGTATACGTACACTCGTTGCCCTTGACGATCAAGGTGAACAGCTGGATCGCATTGAGGAAGATATGGATCGTATTAATGCTGATATGAAAGAGGCCGAGAAAAATCTAAGTGGCATGGAAAAATGTTGTGGTATTTGTGTGTTGCCCTGGAAAAAAGTATCCATAAAAGATGACAGTGACAATGCTTGGAAGAATAATGATGATGGCAAAATTGTGAACAACCAGCCTCAGCGAGTTATCGATGAAAGAGAAAGAGCCGGTAAGGGTGCACCTCCCCAATCTGGTTACATAGCCCGCATAACAAACGATGCCCGAGAAGATGAAATGGATGAGAATCTGGGCCAAGTTAATTCTATGTTAGGTAACCTGCGCAATATGGCATTGGATATGGGCTCTGAATTAGAGAATCAAAATATACAAATCGATCGTATTAATGCCAAGGGTGATGCTAACAATGAACGAATGACGGGAGTCAACAAGAGGGCCAATAATTTACTCAAGAGTTAAATCAATTAATCACTCAAACACACAGACACACTCACGGAACAGTATATTAAAAGTAATATCGTCATCATCAACAATATAAAAACAACAACATCGTCATTATCATAAATAGCACAACAAGAAGAAACACAACAACAATATTGAAGTCATTTAACAAAAAGAACTTAATCAAAATATTATATGATGAGGAAGGTATGTTTTCCCACTTGATTAAAACAAAAACATTTTATAAACATTTAAAAAATGTATTTACACTTTTTCCCTATTGAGTTTTTTCTATATTTAAAAAGTTTAACGGTTTCCAAGTGCCTTAGTTATTTATATCCTGCCTTAGAATATCGATACATACTACACATATTTAAGGAAAGAGTTATTTAAAGCATTTGGGCAATAATTGACAATGTTGGGCGCGGAATATGTACATATTTATGTACATATGTATGTATGAATATATTCCAATTTCATCAATCAATACGCTAAAAAGTCTAACAAAATGTTAAGACGTTAATAGAGAAATGTAATTTACTATAATTTTTAAATCGATTATTTTTCATTACGTCTTGCAGGATATCAAATACATACATTGTAAGTCTATAGATATAATTGCATATTGAATAGGTTGTAACAATATTGCAATATTTTTTTTTGCTGCTATTGATACATTTGTAAATGTACTATAGAAATGTAAAACTTTTGTTAATGTTTAATGTGTGTAGAAATGTAAAACTTTTGTTAATGTTTAATGTGTGTATATAAAAACGCACATTAGGCTTGTGCTTAAAAAAAATTTGGTTGAGTCTAGTTTTTTTTAGTTTATAATACTAAAAAGTTTTAAACGAGTCAGAAAACTTTTATGCATATTTTTTCATATATTTGTAACAAAATAAAAGAGACCTGGACATATTTGTCTGTTAGGAGCAGATCTAATGTACAATAACGGTTGTAAACATTTTTTTAAATTTACTATAATTTGAAGTAGTTTTACATGATCTTTAACAATGAAATTCATTATTCAAATTGAATTTTTATGTTCAATTTGATGTTATTAATACATATACATATGTGTTGTAAATAAATACATTTATGTAGATAAAACTTACTCAAAGCTTAGCTTATCAATGACTTGTTGAACTTGTTTATATATGATGTGATGACGCACATTATTACAATGTCCTGGAGATCAGCATTGCCTTAGAGTAAATAGCTTTCCTATTTATTTGATCCATTACTATATTATTAAGTAGTATACGACATTTTAATGTCATAATTACAGCCTGACTCTGTTACGTATATCAATATTAAGTGACTTTTTAAGATATTCAAACCTCTTTCTAACAAATATACTCTGACGGAACCCCATAATTGTTTTGCATTGAAATCCTGTAATGATTAACATTACATGACTATAACGGAAAGGAGATATGAATTTCTAGCTGACATACTAGCAACATAAAACTGCTCAAAAACATTTTTTTTAAAGTGCCCAAAAACATAACAGAATACGAATTTAAATTATTATAAGCATCATTACCAAACCCTAGTTTATTAATATGTACTTTAATTATACAAAAATTTATAATACTAAGATTTATATATACATATATTTATTAATATTTTTTATTTTCTATACACAGCTCAAAATAAAACAAATATTGAATGAATCCAGCTTTAAATGCACAATGAAAGACACACAATCAAATCAAATAAAATGGCACAAAACTTAAAAAACCACAGCACAACATTAACTGAAATAATAATAAAATTGAAAAGATAAAACGAGGAAAATAATAACAACAATAAAAGAATAACAAACATGAAAACAAACCACAATTTATAAATGTCCAATATTAATAACTAAATGGAACCACCAACAAAAAAAGCAAACAATTACCACCCACTAAGGGAACTTTAAACTGTCTAACTATTGTCTGATTTAAGAAAAAAATGGACTCTACATATTCAAAATTCAAAAAAAAAAAAAAAAAAAGCAACTAACCTACCGATTTTTTATAAATATATATTAAAAAAAAAAAAACAATTTATAAAACATTACTATTTACAAACAACAAAAAAATAAAAACAAAAATCTATTTGCTAAAACTATTTATAATCTATTACTATAACTATTTAAAACTATTCATACTATTTATTAAATAAAAATATTAACACAAATTAAATTTTAAAAAAGTTAAATTTATAATTGTTTAATTTATGTTTGGTTTTATTTGTTATGGAAAATTAGTTTTCACTCTTTTTTTTAAACACTTGTTATTATTTTTTTAATATCACTAATAGTTAATTATTTTGATTTGTTTAATAAAGTATAATTATAATTTTAAAATACTGCAGCAATTTTGGAATTAAAAAAGACAAAAAATCATACAAAAATATCAAAACACTTTATTAAATGATAATAATATACAAAAAAAAAAAAAAAAAACAACAACATATTGATATACATAAACCTAACTTAACAAATACCTTAAAGTAACTGTTTTTTATATACATGTATAAATCTATTAAAAAAATTATATACAAATCTGCATATTGGTAATTTGTATGTAATATAGTAAATATGTATGTATGAACTCTTGTACTGGTGCATTTCAACTGCAATTTGTTTGGAACCAATATTTACACAAAAAACAACAAATAATTTATATTTTAAACTAAAAACAACTTGAATTTACAACATTTCCTAAACTCTCTAAATGTAATAAAAGTGTTTGTTATTTTATATTGAAATTATGAAGTCTTTTTAAATAATTTTATAAGAAAAAAAAACGAAGGTAGTGTGTCATAAACATGTTTTGTTTTTAGATAGATTTTTTAATTTTTTATCATTGCGGAAGTATGATTAACTCTTAAATAACGTTTAGTCTAATGTTTTAATACTTAATTTCAAAACTAAGTGTTTATAATCGAAAGGTCTACAAATTATAGGGAAATTAACTTTCGATGCAAATTTGGATAGTTTTATTGCTCATTTCGATTTTTTTTACTTGTATGCTTATATATACATTTATACAGTTTCCTAGATAGTCAAAATTTTGAAAGGAATACAAAGTGGCAGGTTTTATAAATGGTTTCATGAAACTTTTCGCACAAACTTATCCACTTGTGGAAATGGGAAATGTAAACTTTAAATTCCTTAATACTTACATTTAACATTTCGGGCAAAAAAACTTTTCAATAACAGACCAAATTTATTTAAGAGTTTAACAACATTAATATTTTTCAAATAATATAAGGATTTCGATAATAGTGTTAAAGATAAAAATAAATTAAATTATAATAAAAAAATTATAATGAAAACAAAATGCAATACTTAAACATTCTAATACCCCTTATTCTGAACTTTATTACGAAAACTTAAATTATCATAAAACTTATTTAATATAACATTTTAATCAACACTATTCAAATGTAAACATTTATTACTATTACTATTTCAATTTTATTGCTGTTAAAAAGATCAGAATAGGGTTAAAAAATAACTATATATTTTGTTATTGTTAAAAATAAATTGTAGTCGCATTTTGTTGCTAAATTTGATTGATTGAAATCGTATTGAAATTATTAAACTATAGTTAATTATTTATTATATTTTAGATTTAAATAATAATTGTTTAATGCAAACTTCCCAATATTTATATGTGTGAAAAAACACCATCCCCCAAACACAAACCCCAGTAAATTTTAAATTTAGAGTTTTCAACACTCAATAGTTTATTACATATTATATTTATATTCAACAAAATTTAGCTATTTTTCCTTTTGTGTTAAAATTATAGTATTTAAAATATTTATTGCAGATTAAAATAATTTATTAATTAATATATTTAAAGTAAACTAAATGAACACATATATACATAAACAAGTTTATTAAACGTAGCATTATTTATACAAAACATACATATTTACCCCCCATTATTCATAATAAAAATATAAAAATAAAAAAAATATATATAAAAAATACTCATAAGCGTTGTTATTTATTTGAATGCATTTCAAATTATTTATTTAATATGTAGAAAGGAAGTAAAGTGGAATTCCATTGTGTTTCTCAAAACACAACAAAATTAAACTTACATTCAATGCAATACAATATTCTACCCATTTATGTCATGACTCATGCCATTTTTAGCCGCCTCAGGCACGTGATTATGTTGTTAATGATGATATCAGCATCATTATTAAACAACAGAAATAGTTAGAATACTATATTCGTCTTAGCTGAATCTGAGTGACCCGTTACATCTACTGTATTAGCAATTTACTACTATATATATAATTTAGAAGTTTTTATAATATCCCAACAAAAACTTTCATTACCAAGTAAGGGGTTAGAATTCTAAAATTTACTTAAAATGCTATTATATGTTGTGCCATTTTAAGAGGGTGATGACATTGGAGCCTAGTGCCTAACACACCCGCCTACAAATGGGGAGATGAATAAGTTCTTACCACCATCGCTTGCTAATAAGGAAGTAGTTTTATCTTTTAAAACTGTATATCCCCTAAAACTTTAAATTGTTTTTAATATGCATAGCATGATTCGAAAGTACAAATGTTCTCCTTTGTATGTTAAAAATACATACATACATTTGTATTGTGTTTCGAAACTTTTTCCTTCGTATGGAAGTACGAATTAAAGCAATGCTTATAGGATTACTGAAAATGAACTTCAGTTTGAAATATTTTAGCCCCCATTTCACAATGTCTGATTATGTTTTATACTAACGATAAATTGACAGTTTACATATGGTTTCAAACAATGATCAGAAAGAATTTCCTAGTCTAAAGTTAATCTATATACTCATATAAAAATGAATGTGTGTTTTTTAATATGCTTGAAGTTTTTAGACTACTAAGTGGCTGAACCGATTTTCTTGAAATTTTCACAGTGTATTCCTGTATGTCTAGGAATAATATAAGTATATATTTGAGATAATGTAACAGTTAGAGTTCTCAAATTTTGTCGGTGCCAATATAATTATTTAGGATAAAAAGTGGGCAGACTAGCAGCAGGGGGCATGGCACCTCCCATATAAATTAAATACAAAAATTAATTTATCTTGGAAACTATTACAGTTGGAAAATCTTAATTAACGTTTGGAAAAACTGGCGAACTTTCAATAATTTTTGTGGCATCTGCCATATGTAAAAATTGTATATCTGGAAAACTATTATAGTTAGAATATACATATGGTTTTTCAAATAATTTTTTAATGACTTTTTGGAATGTATCGTTTTATGGTTAAAAGGACGCGTGTTAAGTATTTTTCAATTGCAATTTGCAAAAATTATATCCTCATTGTGTGAAACTGTGAAGTTCTTTGCGTTAAAAATTTTTTAAAGGAAAATAATAAGACAATTCCAATATAAAAAATTAGTTTAGATTTTTAGAACAAGTGTAAATCAATGAAATACAATTATGAGATGTTTAATCAATATCATTAAAAAATATAAAAAAAAGTAATTGATGAAATGACCCAAATAATCCCAGCAAAAAAATTTGCAGTAGAGCAAAGGGAATGTAAGTTTCATGACTTCTTTAATAACAGTGCTAATACAACTCATTCTAAATGCCTTTCTAAATTCAACCTATTCCGCAGTTAAAAAATTTATTTCAAACTTAAAAAATTAATTCAGATTGCTAATTTAATCAAATAAGATTTATGTGTTATTAGAAATAATTTTTATTATTAATATTATTTTATATACATATTTTTCCATATTTATTACATATTTACCTTAAAAATATTTAAAATATCTTCCAAAAACATATACATACATACAAAAGAAATAGCTTGAACCAATGAAACATCGTTTTCGAATCAACGAATTTGTATTGGTTCGATAATTCGAAATTCTCGCATAAACACATGATCTCCAATGACACGCTAATGTTAAAATCATGCATGTTTCACCTAAATCGAACCACTTCGTCATCACTTACACCTCGTATTAAACAACATCTTCTGATTTTACAGGGTTTTTTTTTTCCAAATTGGTGTTACTTTAGATAGCTATATCTTCAATGTTTTCAAAAAAATTTTAATTTTTTAAAATTTTTTAAAATTTAAAAAATATATATTTTTTAAGTTGGTTTAATTGACACTAAATTGCCCATATATAACCATCTTCTGAATGAAACAAAAGTTATGACAAAATTCTTAATGGTATGTATGTATATGCACAATTGGAACGAACGACCAATTTCGTTCTGTTCGTCGTATTCGTCCACAAAAATTTGATGCGTAAATTCGTCGTTTGAACCCAATTAAATTAAACTTTATTAAAAAAATAAAACTAAAATTCGACGCTCGTCTGCGTATGAAATAGAAATAAACCTATCCCACAGTGGTTTCAGAATTCCTCAATGACATCAATTTTTTGAGATATCGTGAAATACCTGAAAAAACCTCGTTTTTTGGCCATATTTGCGTCCTTATAAAAGCAAGAACATAAGAGCAGTTATGTCGTCTAAAAGTGAAATGTGTCGACTTAATAAAATGTTTAGCCTCTGTCATATCTTCTCTCATATCTTTATCATTCCTTGAGATATCTTAAAGCTTGAAACAACTATAAATCCCAAAAAATTACTATTGCCTTTATTTTAGGGCAAAAACTTCATCGAAAGCAAGAAAAAGAGATTTTTAAATAATTCAAACGTAAATGTAATCATATTTTTAAAATTCGAAGTTCATCAGCAGCAATTAAAATCAACTTTTTATACCCACCATCAAGAAAGATGTTGGGTATATTGTTTTTGTTATTCCGTTTGTAACACATCGGAACATTATATTGGTCATAGACCCACAAAAGTCCTTATTAAATTCTAAGACGATCTAGCCGTCTGTCTGTTGAAAATACGATAGAGTCCGAACGGAAATAGCTATATGGTTGAAATTTTCTACAAATATTCTTTATAGGTAAGGTTTATTTGGTATTGAAAATGAGAAATATCGATCCATGTTTTCGCATAGCCCCCATACAAGTGGCCCCCCGAAAAACAGTGTAAACAGCCTCGTTTAAAAACAACAGTATGACAATGAAATTCCATATAAACAAGTTTTATATGAACCAAAATCTCCCTACCAAATTTTATGAGAATCGGTCCATAATTGACCCCACCCCCCATATAAGGTCCCTCGCAGAAAACGACTATAACACTCATAACTTGCTTCAAAATGATATAAATGCAACGAAATTCGACATAAACAAGTTTTAGGGGAACTAAAGTCTCTCTGCCAAATTTTATGGAGATCGGCCCATAATTGACCCTATCCCCCATATAAGGTTCCCCTCGGAAAATTACTTTAAAGCTCACAACTTTCTTCAAAATACCAATAAATCACGAATGTCAACATAAACAAGTTTTAGAGGAACTAAAATCTCTGCCAAATTTTATGAGGATCGGTTCATAAGTGACCCTACTCCCTATATAAGGTCACATCATAAATTGACTACAACGCTCATAATATGTTACAAAATTATAGCTTAAAGCAACGAAATTCGACGTAAACAATTTTTCGGAGAACAAATATCTCTCTGCCAAACTTTATGGACATCGGCTCATAATTGACCCTACCTCCACATAAACATGTTTTATAGAAACTAAAATATATCTGCCTTATATTAAGAGGATCAGTCCATAATTGATTCTACCCCCCATATAAGGTCCCCCTCATAAAATGGCTTTAACGCTCATAACAATAACTTGCTTCGACATTAAAGAATAGCAACGAAATTCGAATAAGTTTTATAG